CGCGAAATAAAAAGAATAAATTATCTAAACACTTGCTAGAAAAATTATTTTTTGAGATATTATTAATTAGCCCCTTTATCTTTAGCATATTATACTTTTACAGTTAGAAAAATATTCCATAATTACCATCTTTACGCTTATTTTATTTATTATATTGAAAATAGAAACAAGTTACTTGAAATTAATATGTATAATATTAAGTATAATTTATTATATTATTTATTTGCTTAAAATAAATTATCGTCATTGTATAGCTAATTTTCATATAAACTCCGTGATATCAATAAAAATATTAAAAAACAAGATCGTCTACATCAATTTAACCGAACAAAATAAATAGGCATATCACACTTGTAATGCCACATGAAGCAAGTTCTGTACTTTCGGTGGAATACCTTCTTGAAATTGATATCTATTGGAAATGTCATTTCACTATCTCCCTTTCTGTTAATTATTTATCATATGTAACTATTCACAAAACTATTGGAAGAATACCTTTGAAAGTAATGTTGATGAATTCATAAATCCGCTAGTTTTTATTTCACAAAATAATTCCAATTCGAGCAAAGAAGTGATATGAAATTTTTTATTATTATTTAAAAATACTTTGTAATTTCTTCGTGTCGATCATCAAAAACCAGTTTAAAAAATTATAGATTACAAAATTCTACATTCGTATTTTTTTACTTTGAAGCGGAATATAATTTGTTAGGGATCCAAAACATAAATTTCCATCTTTAATTCAAAATTTTCAACATGCAACCGTTCGAAAATATTCGAATTACTTTTGTGCGTTACACATATTTGTTCAATTTTCCATATCCGGTGTTTATATTGTATTGTTTTCGATAATTGTAGTTAGCCCTTTGTAGATCATTTTTGAACCCCTTAAACCCTTCATTTCTTCCTTTGTGGTTTTAATTAATTAGTATTTGTTGGTGATTAGCATTGACATTGCGAAAGTGTAGAGCGGCGACTGTTGAGGCAACACTGATTAATTGATATTATTAAATAAATTTATCGTCATAATTACTTCTTTTTTCTTTCTTCTGCTTACAAATACAAATTGTTTATAAATACAAAAACGAAAGAACTGAAAACAACAATAACTTCTAACATTTAAGATCATTTTTCCGAATTCACGTAAGCAAATCAATAACCGCAATATTATTAACCTACAATATAAAAATTCCAAATCAGTGGATTGCATCAGAAGAAAATTCGTCAGTAGCTGAAAGGGAACCAATAGAAGAGAAATCGTTCTCTGAGATATAAGTTTTTAAGCGAATTAAAATTGGCCAACTGAGTCCTATGGAGCCGATATTGGGCATCCGGATTTAATAAATCTGGCCACTGGTCTTTGTAATTTGACAAGCATGATATAATAAATTCATAATAATTTTTTTTATTAGAAATAAAGTCTTTAATTTTTCATGTATAATAATAAGCACTAATAAATTTTGATCATGTGAATTTCTAAATTGGGAAGGGCCGATAAATGATATGGTTGATTGCTAGGAAAATCAGATTGAGATTTTTATTGCATTTTAGTTATTGATGTTATTAGATAAAATGCATTAAGCTCTTACAATCCCATTAGAAGGCGCAACACACTTTTAATAATAAGAATTAATTAAAATTTGTGACCTAATAAAAAAAAAAAAAAATAGAATAATCCATAGGAGCATACGTTCCGAGTGATCTTATAAATAATTAATTTTAAACGGAAAACATTTTGACAAAAGAAATTTTCTCTAATCTAAATCACTTTGCTTTTAAATCATTTAATTCCGCATATGTTTCAAACATTTATAAGATAACTCGAGATTGCTTTTATTTCTCATTGCTTCATCCACTGACATATAATTAAAATCTTCGAAATTTACTTTTACAGAAACCACATTTTAAAGATCATCCGAATTTGAATTTATTTCATTGGTCTTTTTTTTAATTAAACTAGAGAAAATTGTCAACGTCCCTTTTGTAACTTAATTCGATTTGATTAAGAAGAATGTTTTTCATTTTTAATAAGAAATATTTTATTTCCAAGAAGGGCGTTAAGACATGACTCATAAGTGGCCTAGTTCGTTAAACTTAACGACCGATCACTAGAACATTAAAAAAATATATATATATATATATTTTCATGAGTAGGGATTGGCGTCCTTGGCTCATGCCGTAAGGTGTGAGTCCCTATTGATGTGATAATTAAAGAGCATACTTAATTTATAAAGGGTTAACTCTCAAAAATTTTTACATGATATAATTGAAGAAAAAGTGCAATTGGTAATATAGATGGGATCATTTTAACTGGAAGGCGTGTCATTATTAATAATATAAACTAGGGAACGGTTTCGGAAACCATTGTTAAGTCCGGTTAGAAGAGTAAGTTTGTTAATCGTATTTTAAATTAAGGCCATTTGTTAATAATATTACCTAAATTTTTTTTTTTTATATATGTTGTTGGAGCGAGATATGATATTGCATTGGTATGATATCTTCAATATCATCGGCGCCACCACAAATTATGTAAGATTTATTTTATAATCAGTATGAAAGCGCAAGTATTATGGAGCTGCGGTTGAAATATTTGTCCACAAAACTAGTCATTTCTAATTTGATAGCATTACGTAAGTTGCGTTCATATAAGGTGTAGCAACTCGAATTTCAATTCGAAAACCGCTATTTCACATATAGGGCATTAATATATCGTAAAATGTTCTTGGCGATCAAAGAGGTCACTCGTATAAATTTAATTATATAATTTTAACCCAAACTCCAAAATCCACCAGAAGTCATTAAATGATATTTATGCGCCTTTGAAAAGTTTACTTCAACAAGGGTACGTTTAGCTACTTATAGTCAACGTCCATTGCGCCGCAGTAAATGAATGATAAATGAAGTATTCATGATAAAATACCTTATGCAAATAGTACAATCGAGATATTGAGTTATCAAACGGATAGAAATTTTCATTTACTTAAATTAATAAATTTCATAATATGTTTTGTTGAAACACTCACCTCTACTAAAGGGTGGAAGCCAAACGTTACTTTATTCATGACGTAATCCTTATCTTTTCCATTTTTACTCTCTTCATTATCCATATCGATGATGGAGGTGGATACTTACAAGCTGCGTGACGTCCACAGTATACTTTAGAAGGTAATGAATTCTTAGTAGATTCAACGTATCTGGTAGTAATCTTCTAATGTTATTTACGTAGATTCTTGCAATTTTTAATTTGTTCTTGGTTGATATTGAGAAGTATTTCAATTCTGTAAGATACTTGATCTTGATAATTGGATCTGAATTTACAAAGTAGTCTCTTTAGGTCAGACATTTATATAGGATTGGTTACACATTAGGGCCTATAAAATGTGGTCCGGAAAATAAGAATTGCCGCGATCGTGTTTTTTATGTTAAAAAAATCTCATTGCTCTGAATTCACTATTTAGAATTTTTATCTGAATCTGATTTGCGCAAGAAAAAGAAACATCAATTAATATTACTCGTTGCATTGATCTCTAAAAATAAATTAACTAGTCACGTTACTGACCTCTAAAAATGACAACTCATGATTTCTAATAATAAATTATTAAGAGACGCATCGGGGAATTGAAAGCTCTTCGCGGCCATAGTTGAGTGGGGCACTCTTCAGGCTGGCGGAATGAAGAAACCTTGAAGGGAGTTTCCGAGAAGAAGGTCTATTGATTCTGTATTAAGAATTGGTTACAGGTGCCTTCCTTCGTAAATATCATGGAAAATTGTAAATTCATGATGTATTTCATTTACTTATGACGCAAGCACTTACATTTTACAATATTATTTATTTTTTAGTGCAATGGTCTAGGATATTTTTTTTTATTTTTATTTTGCAAAAGAGTGAATTAATTATTTAAAATGGAGAATAATTTTTTATAGAAACTATTGTTTTTTATGATTTCTTCGGTAAAGGTATTACGAAAAGGAGTAGAGTCGGGTGGAGTTGATGAGTAGAGTATATCACGTGTTATGATGTTGAGTATCATACGGAATTGTTAGGAGTTAGGGTTATATTAGGTCCAAATAATTTGGAAAAAAACATAAAAAATGGGCTAGGTAAGGGTTAGGTTAGTATTAAAAAATATACTTAACATCATAACACGTGATATACTCTACTCATCACCTCCACCCGACTCTACTCCCTTTTCGTATCACTCCTTTGGTAAAGTGTTTAATATTTGCGTTAATTTTAAATATTTGATATATAACTTATATTACACTGTATGTAACTAGTCATTTATTCAGTATAAATATTTTTTTTTGTCGCACAACTTTCTGATTAATGTCACGTGTCAAATATGTTGTAGTTTTGCTATATTTTTAATTCGTCAATTATCGATCGGAAATAATATGTTGATTGAAAGTTTAAAACCAGTAAATTTTATTGATTTGCGTTTTGTTAGATATTTTGATTTAGTCAATCCATGAGAATATCTATTTATTTTAGGATTAATGAAGAGTAATACTAATCTGGTTAGTTGTACGATACGACCGTGGGTATGGTCCGAAATCCCGACACTCAAAATCCCGACAGGCCAAAATCCCGACAGTCAAAATCCCGACAGATCAAAACCCGACAGGTACAAAATCCCGACAGGTCATAACCCCGACAGCATGAAATTCTGAAAATTGGCCCGGAATTAAGTTTCAGGGTTTTTTGAGTTTATTTCTTATATTTATTTTATATTAATAAACCGTTGCCGATCAATATTTATTTACTATATTTGATAACTGTTCTATTTTATATACCCTTTAATTTTATTACATATAAGTATTAATTATCTTGTTAATTTTTTATTTGCAAAACGGGCAAAATGATATTTTATTTATTATAATTCTCATAAACAAAAAAAAAAAAAAAAAAAGACATCTGGGAAAATCCACAAACAAATCAACCGTTAAACAAAAAAAATCATCTATTTTAAGATGCATATTCAGCCATGACGAGCATTTTATACGAAAATGGCGCAGTAACGATAAAATTTTGTTGCGTTCACAATGTTCACAAAAAAAGGGATAATTCAAAAAAGTATCATAGTTATATCATAAGATTATGAGCGATCCCTCGTAGAAAATCCATCACTGAGCGGTTTTCTCTATCATCAACTATCGTCATTATTCTTGTTTCCCTCTCAATTAAGGTTTTTTTTTTTGCTGGTCGTCGCTCACCACGAATAATACTTTCAACTTGATGTTCTACACTCTGTTGTTCCTTCTGTAACTCTTCGATCATCCTATAAACACCTATATGACTTTGCCCAACCAAAATTTCCCAACGCCGATGCCAAGCTTTAATATTATTCTGAGTTCGTGGAATCCCCATCTCATTTGAATTATATACTGACCACAACTGTGGTGGAAATAAAGGAGCTGAACGAATAACAGTTTCATTTCGAAGATGCCGACGTATCCTTCCATAAACATAATTGTCTTCAAACCATTGAACAACTTCATTTGCTTCTGGAGGCATTTCAAGCTTTAATACATCAAATGCTTCAGGAATTTCCTGTAGAGGTAAAAAAGCTAGCACAAACAAATGTCGCAATATTAAACTAAATTCCTCATCATTGCCATATCTAGTAGCAAGTCCACATGATTGAATTTTTCACCATCCAGACTGTCCTAAATGAAAAAAACATCCTTTGTTTTCAAAATTAGGAAATACATGACGGGATGCATTGATTGATGCTAACTCGAAATCAGTTAGAATAATTGGAGGTTGTAAGGTAAGATTATTTTCTGCTGCAAAATCAATTAATTCTTCAAACAAATTTTTGTAAATTTCTTCTGATTTACTTGTTACTAATGAGAAAACAAGAGGAAGAATTCTTGAATTTTCACCACCAACAGGTGCATGGATGGTATATAATTGACGAAATACTGTTGGAACAGTTTTGAAAGTACCATCCATCAGCAAAATGGAGCCTGAGATAAGCGTTGAATATTTGTTGTGTAGCAAATAGTAAAATTCGATCATCACCAATTTCACAGTCCCTTACTAAGAAAGGATCACCATTTAAAGTTAAATGAAGTAAATCTGGAATATTAACTTCTTCAATAGTTTGTGGTTGAGCAGGCATTTCCGCTCTTTTAACACATTTAATTCTTGAATGAAGAGTATTAGAAGATGGCATGTAGGGCTGATACTCTTGTAACATATTAACTGTAATATCTTGAATGATCTGTATAGGTTTATCTCTTGTTGCATGAGCTTTTTGCTTGATTTGGCTGATAGTTTTTGCAACTTCTGCATTACTAGCCTGAGGCGAGTGGTCATATTCAACAAATTTTTTAAGATAATGAAGCCTATGATGAAAAATTGTTGCTGCATAACCCTTACAATTATCTAGTTTCCTTCTCTCGCAATACCAATAATATTTATTCTTTCTTCTTCATTCTTTTACCATTAAATAGCCTTGAACATTTATTTTATCATTTTCTTTTTGGAATAGAATAATATTACATATTTCATAGTTTTCCATTTCTAATATGTTTTTTTGGTTAAAGAATGAAAATGAAGTTTTGTTTGAATAATTACATGAGTATTACATACAGTATATATGGGTCCTTTGCAATAGAAAGGGGGAAACGGCTGAAAAATTAAAAAATAAACTAATGAGAATATTTAATATAATGTGACTAGAGGAACTTTTTAGTATATTAAAGTAGGACAGGTTACATAATAAAATTTTTAAATAATTTAAATAATTCATAAAAAACTGCATA